TCGAGTCATCCGATCCGAGCATCAACGTCCCAGGACCCAGAAGAACGGTGTCCAAGCTCCGGAACGAGACCTACCACATGTTCTCCAACCTTCACCCAGGAACAACGTACCTGATCTCCGTTCGAGCTCGTACAGCCAAAGGCTTTGGTCAGACCGCCTTAACGGAAATCACCACCAACATCTCAGGTACCGGCAACAAACGTGGGTCTGTTTCTGCTAAATCCGGTTCTCCACAGCTGTCTCCTTCAGGGCTGAGAAACATAGCCTCAAAACTCTGTCGTAACTTTTCTAGGAAACTTGTGACAGTTTTTGTTAATTCACACGAGTTATTAGAATTTATATCAACAAAATGATAGAAAACCGGATCTGGCTCGGCCCCAGTCTCCGTTTCAACATCATGAGATCGCTAACGCCAGCAAGAAGTCCCGCAGTGTGACGCCAGGGACTTTGAGTCCTGAAGGTCAAAAGGAGACAGAAGTTTTATGCGTTCTGGATGGTTTACTATCTGAATCTCTACTCAGTGTTTCTCTTTTCTGGAACTTTTTACAGATGTCTCTGACCATCATGTGAAACCGTTAAAACGCCATCATCGTGTGACATCCTTGGCAAACCAGAACATTTTAAAATACCAAGATTCATTTGAAATTCTTTACGATGTTCGTGGTTAGCTTGGTAATGTATGTGACTTTAGTCCGGCCCACTGGCGGCTCTCAGTCATGGAGCTGGATCTCTGGTTGTCTTTCTGTCTCCACATGCTTTTGGACAACAAACAAGGTGACGTACGTACCGCTACGGATGTCATTCAACGAGGTAGTATAGGACCGTGCGATCTGATGATAAAAGATCATTAAGGATCATAACGGGATGACGGTCTACCAAAGCGCTGAGATCGTAGAACTGTCTATTCGAATTCCAACGCCATTATTTCTGGACGCGTCTACGGGCACACAACAGCAGTTTTCGTTCTCTCAGCCGAGTCTCGTCATTTGCTAGTTGGCTTCTTTCGGCTCAGCAGACACACCGATGAACCAATCGGAGTAAGTTCCAGGCTGGGTGTTGGTTTGTTTAGCTGGGGTGTTCGGTGGAGCTGAGGAAAATAATCTAATAACTGATGCATTAAGATGCGGACACAAACGTTTATGAAATCATGGAAGAAGCTCACCACACTCCATTATAGCGGCTTGCCGCTAGCATTAGCCACTAGCTTGCTCTAAGCGGCTACTACTATTATCACATGTCTGCTCGATCAGGAAACCTCTGGGTCAATGATCTGCTCTAAACTGCATTTGGCTTAGTGGCCATTATTAATTAGGTGCGTGTGTGTTTTAGCGAGCCTTTTCACCGTGGCGGCCAACCGGAGATTTATTTATCCTGTCTGTGTGGAGGGACGGGCCAGACCCCGCCCCTAACCCTACTGGTCAACAACTTTCACAACTTCTGAAATGTAGAAATGGAAAAAAAAGATAAAATTGTGATTTAGCAAAAATAAATTAAATCTTGGTTTGATGTTTTTTCCATATGCATCCTTTTTTCTAAATAAAGGACTAAAGTACCTCTATCTGCTCTTGACTCAAAGACAAGACAAAGTCTAAAAAGTCCTAATTTGATACCAAAGCCATTTCAAATGAGCCGTCGCCATCTTTGTTTCACTTAGTCGCGACAGCATACCGCCCATCAAACCGAAGCCAACAGACTGGCCCAGGGTTGCTAGACCGACACGCAGAGCTAATCTTTTAGCTTCTGCTAGTGTCTGTCTAGATTTCTAGGCTAGTCTGTGATGCTTTCCCCTGGCCAGACAAAATGATCCAGTTTTAGGTTGAACATCTTTTTCTTTGAGGAGTTGTATCCTGGTAGAACCGGCTGCACACTGAGTCGACAGATCGGATCCAAATAAAGACACCATCTTGACCGTTGGGAACCATTATCAGAGGATTTCTGTTCTTGCCATTATTTACAAGCCAGGGTTGTTGGTAAACCCGTCCCTCGCGCCCCTCGGCAGCACTCGTCCGTTTGGCTCATTCTCATTAGCTTCACGTCTCAGATGTGGCTCCAGCATCCATCTTTATTCACAGTCAGTGTGTGGTTCTACCACCATGTTCTATAATTAGGATTTGGGGATTTCTCTCTTTTGACCTTTGTGCTTCTCCTTCAGTGAGGCAAAACTTTTACTCCCAGAGTGTCGGAGCCATTTTTCATTGCTTCTCCAAACTTGTGGCACGCTGTCACCTCACGGTCCTGTAGATATAAATTAACTTATAGAAGCCAGGACGCACACACACACACACACACACACACACACACACACACACACACACACACACACACACACACACACACACACACACACACACACACACACACACACACACACACACACACACACACACACAACACACACACATGCACGCACGCACACAAACACACACACACTCACACACACACACAACTATGTGTTCTTTATGGAGAAAGAAGCAGCATATTGTTGGGACCAAAGTGTCTCTTCCAAGAGTCTCAGAGCTTATTACCACCAGTACCACTTCAGCCTTTTGATGATGTATCTTCACTTGTTAGGAGGATGGCATTACACCTCTGAGGAACACACAGTATGGCCACTCCCACTCTCTCTCTCTCTCCTCTCTCTCTCACTCACTCACACACACACACACACACACACACACACACACACACACACACACACACACACACACACACACACACACACACACTTTCCTTTAATCTACTATCTCTTCAGACACGTCCGGATTGTTTAATTATAGATTAAGTTCACAACTGCAGCTTATTGGCTGTAAATCACAGAGAGAGAGACTCCTGGAACACATCCAGACCACAGATAGAGTGCAAAAAAAGTCTTCACAGATCTTCCTCCTCCTCCTTCTCCTCAGCCGGTCCACGGTGCCAGCGCTCACTTACACTGAGCATCTCCTAAATCTGCACTGACAGCCTGCAAACACTGAACACCTTCAACAGACACTGCTGTCAGCATCTCTGAGCAACGCCTACCGCAGACTACCTGACCACACACACACACACACACACACACACACACACACACACACACACACACACACACACACACACACACACACACACACACACACACACTCACACTCACACTCACACTCACACACACACACACACACACACACACACACACACACACACACACCATGTCTCCAGACCTGGCAGCAGGAATCAAACTGTCTTTTAGTGCCATAGACCATCAGAGTCTACAAAGCCACATACAGTTTACTTTAAAGCCCCCCCCCCACACACACACATACACACACACTTTAATTGCTGTCAACTCTTTTTCTGCGGCAGCATTAGCAAACTGCTTTTTAATCAGATAATTATCTATGCTTCGTGAACAGTTTACTCCTCGTCCCTCTTTGCTAATTGACCGCTGATATTAAAGTTAAACACGCCGCAGCGTCTCTGTTGGTGGTGGTGGTGGTGGGGTTGGGAGGGGGGGGGTTCAGCCACATCCCTTTTAACGGTTCAGCCTCACACGTTGGTGTTGTGTGCGAGACCTCTGGAAGGGATGTGGGAAAGTATTGTTTTTATGCAGGTTGGTGTTTGTTCAGCACTTTGAGGCTGAGCTTGTTTGTATGGAAAGAGAAAAGAAGCAGGAGATGAGCCTAATTAATGCAGCTGGCTAGTGAGCGTCTTGCCTTTTTCTGTCTGTGTCCACAGCTCCTACCTTTGATTATGGAGACATGCCGTCACCGCTGGGCGAGACTGAGAGCACCATTACTGTGCTGCTGCGCCCCGCTCAAGGCAGAGGAGCCCCCGTCAGGTGAGGAAAGCACCTCACATTCTAATGTTTTTGCTCCCTGAACGTAGCTCATCAAAGCCCCACATCCACTCCAGCACTTACCAGGTGGTGGTTGAGGAGGAGACCGTGAAGAAGGTGAAGCGGGAGCTGGGCCTTCAGGAGTGTTTCCCGTTGCCCATGTCTCACGGCGAGGCTCAGGCCCGAGGCACCCCGCACTACTACACAGCCGAGCTGCCCCCCAGCAGTCTGCCAGAGGCCAGCCCCTTCACCGTCGGGGACAATCACACCTACAACGGCTACTGGAACAGCCCGTTGGACCCTCGCAAGAGCTACCTCGTCTACTTCCAGGCTATGAGCAACTTCAAAGGGGTGAGTGACCAAACCCCTTCTTTCCAGTGGAGATGTACAGCAGACAACACCTCCTCCTCCTCCTCCTCCTCCTCCTCCTCCTCCTCCTGCTGATTAACCATATTTAACTGGGTTGTGAGAGTTTTGGTGGTTCATCATAGGGTTTATCCAACAGTGTTGGGAACAACATCCAAGTATTAAGTTTCACGTATTGTTAAGATTTACAGATTTGTGTGGTGGCTAAGGTCTGCCATCTTTAACTGGTAAATAAAGTGTGGAGTTAATCTGATGATTACTGTCATTCACATCATTCCCCTGGATCAAGCAGACACCAGTGATGTGGTCCTGTTGGCTTCATCAGACTGGGATCTATAGCTCTCACTAGAGCGGTTCGCAGCTGAGTGTGAAGCAGCGGGGATGAGGATCAGCTCCTCTAAATCCGCGGCCTTGAACTTGAGTCAAAAAGGGTAGAATGCCTTCTCCGGGTCAGGGACGTGGTCCTGCCCCAAGTGGAGGAGTTTAAGTATCTCGGGTACTTGTTCACCAGTGAGGAAAAGCTGGAGCGTGAGATCGATAGGTGGATTGGTGCTGCATCTGCAGTGATGCGGGAGTTGTACCGATCTGTCGAGGCGAAGAAAGAACTGAGCTGCAAGGCAAAGCTCTTGATTTACCGGTCATCTACGTTCCTACCCTCAAGCTTACGGTAGTGACCGAAAGAACGGGATTAACGGATACCAGCAACCAAAATTAGTTTTGTCCCTGCAGGGTGGCTGGGCTCTCCCTTAGAGATAGGGTCAGCCGGGAAGGCATCGAGAGGAGCTAGTTGAGGTGGCTAAGGCATTTAGTTAGGATGTCTCCAGGACGCCTCCTTGGTGATGTTTTTCGGACACATCCAACCGAGAGGAGACCTAAAGGAAGATCCAGGACACGCTGGAGGGCCTATGTCTCTCGGCTGGCTAGGCAACGCCTTGAGATTCCCCACGGAGGAGCTTAGGCTGCTGCCCCCGTGACCCTACCCCCAATAAGCGGAGGAAAATGAATGGATGGATGGAAAAACACCAGTAGCTTTAATTTTTCCAATGTTAGTTTTCCATCTTGTTAGAAAACCAGGACATCATTTTTTCCTTTTTCTGACCAAAACCTGCAAACGTGCCTGGAGGATTTCACATTACCTTTCCAAATCCCATTAAAGAAGAACTCAGGCAATTACTTAGAGATAATGGAGCTGAGGTGTCGATGATACGAGGCAGAAAGGTGCGGCTGCTTTAAAATTCTGACAGAAGGAATCAGCAAGGAAAACATCTGAGGTTATTAACTGGAGGCAGCTGGGTCACCAGTTTCCTGTTTTATTTCCAGACCAGTCAGTTGTATTAGTCTTCCTTTATTCCATGTACAGTCCTACCAACAGGGCTGGGTGGCTCGTCCCCACCAGGACCATCTTCTTCCAGCCCAGTGGAGAAACACACTCAGGGACTGCAGCGTGAGCACTTCACACAACTAGCCTGCTAAGAGAGGGATTAGATGAGGGATTCCTGGATTTACCAGCGGATGGGATTGGGTTTTTGTTTGGCCTGGCATGGCGCCAGCATTCTTGACCCACAATGTATGGGAGCACTGTGCCAACACCGTCTCCTCCAGTCTGTCAAACACAGCTGAAAATACAGTCAGTGTGGAAACACTGGCTGCTGCGGGACTGAAGAAACAAGGAAGCAGTATAAAATATACTTTCTCTTCCTAATGTCAGTAAAAAGTGTGTGACTGTGTTAAAATCAACAACTTGTTGCCATATTGGTTACATGAGTCACAGAAGAGAACAAACGGGGGCATGAGCACAGGAAGGCAACACAAACCTGAGTGGCTGCAGGTTGCAGCAGCAGAATAGTTTGTTTTCATTAAGAAGTACAATTAAATATAATTCACTTAGTCAAGAAACAAACAAATGTTCTAAAGTGATCTTCTGTCTAACATCTCGGAGCCCCTTTACAGATGAGATTGAGTGAGTGTGTTTATCCATGAGTTAATTTAGTGGTGTAGATTTTTATTTTCACCTTCCTTTAGTTTGGTGTCGTCTCAAAGCTTTACCACCATCTTCCTTTTTTCTTAGATTTTCTATTTTCGTCTTCCTCCATAAAGGGTGCTTCTCAATGTCAAGGCGCCTGGCCTTGCGAGGCCACTGTCCTTCCTCGGTCAAAGAAAACGGTTAAATGGAACAGATTTGCGACACGTGACCACCGCGGCTTCCACGGTGGTCACGTGACGTCACGTGACACGAGAGATAACGTTATATTTCATATTTTTTAAGTTTAAATATAAATACTTTTACTTTTTGAATTGTGTATATGTTTATTAAATAAAAAATATAAGTGAGTTACTACCTGCTAGCCACCGACGCTGCAACTACTAAGCAACTAACCAACCATCGATAACTTCTTTGGATCTAAAAAAACAACATTTTAAATTAGTTGACTTACTTTTAAATTTGAAAATTGCCCCGAAGTAGCTGCCGGCTTCTGATTCGTCGTCTTTGTGAAAATACAGCTGTGTATTGTGGGTAATTTTTTACCAAGGCTAGGCTACAACACACCTCCCGTGTATCCTTGCTCAGCTAGCTAAACAGCTAACAAATGGAGAACACGCCTTGGTAGAACATGAACACTGGAACACGTCTTGGCGGTTCCCGATGACGTGTCTCCTAGGCAACCGGGGCGGGGCCAAGACATCAAGGCGAGGTTCCTTGGCATTGAGAAACACCTAATGTAGCGGTAGCATGCTGTGCGACAACAATAAATGTCCCTGTGAAGCACCAGTTTCAGGAACTAGAAGGGAGCCACGTCAGAGCTGAGCTTCAGACGGCGGGATTTGGAGTCTTATTTCCTGATGTTCAGACGTTTCGCCTCTGATTGGCTAACAGCAACATGACTCTACCACTGACTCCGTTTGCTCTGAAATGATGTTTTATCTCCACAAATAACACAAGCACAAAGGAGTTCTGCCATGTGGTGGAGTTGCTAATGCTAAGGGTTAGCTTTTACCAGCCGGGACGTTCACTGCTGTTTCCTGGGCGCTACACCAACAACATGCCTTCCTTGTTGCGAGCTAACTTGGGCGAGTCCATGAATGTTAAGAGACAGCGTGACGTAGATATGTCAGGCATTACTAATCCTAGAGTTTCACTGTCTATTTTCTGTCAGAAGCTAATGCAGGAGATAGGTGTAGGAGACTATTTTCATGTTCAGCCTGCACGATTAAAATCAGAAATAATCATTAAAAATGCTTTTTCAGTGTCCCACACCTTTATTGGTTGAAGGCAAATATTTTTGGGGATTTTGAAATGAACAAAATTGAAATGACAAATGCAATATTGTGTAATAAATAATAATTACAAAATAAACAAACAAGTGGGCTGCCAGCATCAGAAAAGTCACGTATAAACTAGAAAAAAACCAGTTGTGGATTAAAGCTTCCTGCTGGAGTTGTTCTGAAACGTCACATTTGATCATCACTTCAGGTGTTTGTGCACCGACTTGGTTATTAACATGCAAAGCAAACTGCAGGGCTTATTTTTAATTGCACCTCTCGTTTACTCAGTGTCTGTGTGGTCAAATTTATCTGAAGTTTGTTTATCTTGGTGGAGGGCAAACATTGCATCTAATCCCCTTAAACAGTAAAAGTGTTCAGACTGGATAAGCCTGTTAAATAAGACCTGCCCCCTCAAAGAAAAATGTCCGGACTACACACACACACACACACACACACACACGCATGCACGCACGCACACACACACACACACACACACACACACACACACACACACACACACACACACACACACACACACACACGCGCACACACAATGCTGGTTGCATGCTGGCTTTTGTTTCTTCTATTGGGCTCTGCCAGCATCCAGCGGTCAGGCAAACATGTGACGTCTTCCATAAGATCAACGCCGACCATTTAACTCACTTGCTGAGCATTAAGCACCAATCATTCAGAAGCACATCTTAAGGAATTTGCTTCTGTCCATCACAGTAGCTCGTTTATTTTCTGCCAAACAGATGGAAGCATATGGAAAATGTTTTCGTGTCCATTTGCCAGAGCACGTTATGATTGATCTGAAATGCTTCTGAGGCAGGTTCAGATGAATCAGCTTATCTTTCTTCTCCCTTTCATTACTTCTTATTATCTTTCAGGGAAAATGTTTAGCACAACCATGCATAGAAGGCTCCACCTCACTAGTCCGCAAACCTGGAAACTCATCTGGTAGAAAAGAACCAGAGCAGCACTTTTTAAACAATGGGATTAATGATTATTAATTCAAACAGTTGGGTAATCAGTAGTGACTGAGACACATTTTACCATGCTGTAAATGGCACTAGACGTGTCCTAGACGGCTGTTTACCTACATTTAAATGTTTAATTTTTTTTACTTTAAAGAGCACAAATCTTTCTTATTATTTCTGATTATAATCAGTCACTCTGAGTTTAACATGCCGGCTGAACATGAAAATAGTCTCCTACACCTATCTCCTGCGTTAGCTTCTGAAAACAGATGGTGAAACTCTGGGATTAGAAAATCCTGACTGATCTACGTCACACTGTCACTTAACATTCATGGACTCACCCATCTTCAATCACGACGGGGAAGGCTGCTGTTGGTTTAGCGTCCAGGAAACATCAGAGAACTAGTAGAAGCTAACCGTTAGCATTAGCAACTCCACCACATGGCAGAAGTTCCTTCAGGCTTGTGTTTTTGTGGAGATGAAACATCAACGTATAAAACACAGTCAGTGTTGCTGTTAACCAATCAGAAGAGAGATGTCCAAGACTCAAGAAAAAAGACTCAAAATCCTGCCGTCTGCTGCCACTCTCTCCTCCAGCTGAGTTCTAGGTCCTCAAACAAGCAACACACACGCACATGCACGCTTGCACACACTCACGCACGCACACACGCACACACACACACACACACACACACACACACACACACACACACACACACACACACACACACACACACACACACACACGCACACAAGTTGATATTTTATCATATCAATTCATGTTTGAGCTGCACTTCACTTTGGCTAATCCAACAACATGCTAGCATGCTGGGATTAGCCTCTGTTGTGACCTCACCAAGCTAACTTCAATCCCCATTAGTTATGTGTAACGTTTTCCACTTTTTCCATAAACATTTAATTTAATATAGTTAGGGTTAGGCATCCTAAAATATTTTAATTACATGATACGTTTCCTGCTCTTCTAGAGCAGTGGCTGCCTAACGGGGTCCGGGCCCCTCAAGGGGGTTGCCACAAGATTGTCTGAAGTTTTGAGGTTAGCAAGATTGTATTTGCAAAAATTACATTTATAAAATCCTGATAACACGCCCTACAATATAATCAGAACTCCATATAAAATATGTACTCTGTATGTCTGTATCATCACATTTAATGTGTGAATATGAGTTGGGGTTGGGGTCCTGGCTTGTCTTGGACACGGGCAACGGGGTCCTCAAGGAAAAAAGTTTGGAAACCACCACTCTAGGGTTCTACAACCCCCCAAGGCACTTTACAACACAACAGTGATCCACACATTGTGGCCACAGCTGCCCCGGGACTCACTGACAGAGGCAAGGCTGCTGTACTTAGGCACCACCACCAATTGCGAAGTAAAAATGTATTTTACTCTATTATCAAACATGATTTATATCTAATCCAACATTATTTTGTTTTCGTTTCCACAGATTAATTGCGGGAACTTTCCAGGCGTTTTTACATTCAGAGCTGCAAAATATCAGCTTGTCTCAGTGGTCAGGAATCTTAGCATCATGAATAATCCTGTTTATGGAGAAATCTGCGGTTTCTGTTTAAAGGGCACTGGGAAAGTGAGAGCTGCTGTCTAAGGAGGTTTTCATTTATGTCGGATTTAGTTCTTTTACCTTTTTTTTCTTTTCCACAAAAATAAACAATCAATGATGAACAAGAGTCTGCTTCTAGACCTGCAGAAAAGGGACACACAACAATGCATCAGGAGCAAGCTATCACTGCGTCAACTAGATGAAGAAATGTAAAATCAGCATTGTTTTACTGAACAATCACACGGTAATAAATCACAGTGCATTTAGTGCCAACCACAGCCTTAAGACATGTGTTGAACATGCCCAAGTCCATACTTATGAGAGCACCATGTGAGCACCTGTGTGTGTACACGCGCTTTTACATGTAAGGTTTCACTGTAGGAGCGTCCAATAGAGAGTGTGAGGGGCCACAGATCTGTCCCCCAAAGATGTGTAGGAGATGGAGGGAGCTCCAAGTCTAGAGATCCAGGAGCTGCCCCAGAACACAGGGAAAAGCCCCTGCCCCCCTCAAGAGGTGCAGAGGATTGCCCCGGGGGGCCACAACCAGCAGAGGCGCAGAGGATTGCCCTGGGGGGCCACAACCAGCAGCCGGCAGAGTCCCGGGAGATATCAGTGGCAAGCCCACAGGCCCTCCCGCAGCCTCCCTCCCCCTAGCCGGCCGAGCCCGGGACGCAGGGGCGACCACCCCCCGCCGGGGACCCAGCAGAGCCCAGGGACCCAGACCCCACCAGGCAGCCACGAGGATTGATCAGGCAGACGCCAAAAATCTTAAACCCCCTGACCAGGGAGCCACGAACACTCAGGCAGACCAAGGCACCGCACTCCACACCAGGTGTGGCAGGGGGAGGGGAGACGAAGATGTATAGTATCAAAAGAAGTCCTAGGAGAGGGTAGGAGTCAAAGGCCCCACCTGACATATACAGTCATACACAAACACAGTCACACATTCACCCCTTCATGCTCACACATATACATACAACCAAACACTAACAAAAATGCATGCCGGACACCCACTCCCCATACACACCCTATTCACTCTGGTCCCGGTACTGCTGCACATGGGGTGCAACCATCACCGGTTCCCAGATTTAGGCCCTTTCTGCTGGGGTGCTGATGAGCAGGCTCCCCCGCCCATCGCTGAGCAAAGCAAGCCACCACCCCAGACCCCAACCAGACGGCCAGACCTCCCTCCTAGCTTCCATCCCCGGAAAGCCAAGCGACAACAGAGGTGTGCTAAGACCCCTAGTCTCCCTCCGCCTGCTCCATTATAGTGTTAGTGCATGTTGATGAGGTGTATTCCATGGCTGTGGTGAGCGGGCAGTGCGGGCATCGTCTGGCCTACGCCAGCTGATGCCACCACACCATCCCAATTGCACCCACAGCACCCTGTGTCTGAGTGCAGTTTAAAATTGGAAGTGGGCACCGGCACTCGGGATGAGGCTGAAAAATCCCCCTGCCACATGCTGTTGAATGTGCTCACTCCCAAGGCCCTAAGTGTGTGTTTCTGTGGAATGTCATTGGTGGAAGTGTTTACGGCGCAATTAAAATTGGGGGGCAGGTTGCCACAGGAATGCGGAAATGGGGTCCATACCCACACCCCCTGACTTGTCCACCCCCCAAGGTCCTATCTGCATGATTGTTTGATGATGTGAGGGTGCAGGAGGAGAAACATGTGTGGGTATGGGGAGGAATGGCTGGTTGGACTTAAGCCCTCCAGGGAGCCAGCTCCCCTACTGGCCCCAATAGGCACCTCTGTTGCCAAAATGCCACCCAGGGCATGGAGACCCCAGCCCATCTTGCCAGGGCCCAAAGTAGCAGCATCACAGAGCCTCACGGCGTCCGAGGGCACCAACCCAGCCTCACCCCAGCAGAATATGTACTCCCATCCCTGCATTTGCACAACTTCCAGAATATATAAGACATAGGACATCCAGCACCCCCCCCCCCCCCCCCCCCCCCCCGGACATCCCCCTCCCCTGTGATTGGACATCAGAGGAGCCAAGGTCTACCCGAGGCCCCTGAGCCCGGACCAGGCACTGCCGCATGTTCCCACCCTCTTCCCGGCAGCATACATGTCAGGACCCGACCCCCAAGGCCCAGTCCAGATCCCCACACGGGGCCGGCCACCCCCACACCCCGAGCCCCCAGGCCCCCACCCAGACCCGCTCAAGGGTAAAGCTTGGTTTATGCTTGACACATTCATTTTCCGCTTGGTGATGCGGCTCGCGGCTGGAACGCGCTTCACAACTCGCAGCGTTTATGGTTCATGTGGCTTGTCTCTGCAGTGAGCCAATATTCTCCCAAACTGTAGGGGGCAGCATGGAGCTCTACAGCATGCATCCAACACTACACCATAGTAGAAGTAAAAATTACTGTTGTTTACAACATGGCATTCCAGCATTTTTAACAACGTCCTCGTCTTGTCTGACAGTGCGAGCTATTTCTCTCCAAGAATTATTAACAACATGTTGATCATGGTGATCTTTGAGAGCTGAATCATACAAATGTCTGTATGTCTGTACATAGCGATCCCCCATCATCGCTATGTGATGGAACCGATCAAAGGAGCCCAGAGAGATTGATTTGAAGTGGAAGCAGAGGCTGTATCAAGTGTAATATGATCTAACAAGATTTCTATACTGGTTAATGCAACGAGTATCTCTATTTTTCCAATTCAAGAGGATAGTTTTCTTAGCGATGCATATGGCAGTCAGAACCACGTGAAACAAAGATGTTTCAGTCAGGACATCGTCCAGGTTTCCCAGTAGACAAAGAGAGGGGGCGGTTGGGATATGACATTTCAGACACTTTGACAGGTCTTCACATACTCTACCCCAAAATTCCTGAACAGGTGGACAGGACCACAGTGCGTGGATGGAATTGTCAGGAATGTTGTTTATGCAGTGTGTACAGGTGTCAGACGACACAAACCCCGTCTTGAACATCTGGTGACCTTCATAGTGTATTTTACTACAGAAAACATTTTGGTTCAGTTTGCTTTCATTTGCACAGATTAAATCATAGAATTAGGAGAAATTCAACGTGTCCGTCAGTTTGAAATGAGTTTTTTATGAAAAAAAGTGTGATTTAATCAGAGTTTGAAAACTATGCTTTTAGCTCATTTCCAAAGGGACAAATTTGCATAATTGTCCCATAATTCCTGAATTGGCATCTGTAAATTTTAATTTGATAATAAATCTCCTCCATGGGGGCATGAGGATGGAATTGGATTACAGTCTTGGATCTCATTAGTGTTATTTGACAAAGGTCTCTTTCATAATGCTGAGATGTCATCAGCTGCAATCTGAATAAAATTAATTCATTTTCATAGTGGTGCGCTGGTCTGAAACCCTCCTTTTAATTATGCTCTCTCTCCCTTCCCTCTCTAATCTTTACTTACCACCACAGCTCTCAGATTTGAGATGCTTTTTTTTCTTTGTGTTATCAGATTATTAGTCCTTTTATTCAGAATCTATACATTTTTTTGTTACAACAATTCAGTGAGTAATTGTGCCCGTCTTTGAGAAAAACAAATCCACTGGTATTTGTGTTTGATTTACACTTTGTGAGGTTTTCATCACGCATCAAGTTTGCTAAAGCTCATATTCTGTCACATCCATTTATTTGCTCTTATCTCTTGTCCCGTTTTCAGGGTGATGTATTTATTCCTCCGTGCAGTATTTCACGTCTTCCTCTTGTCTCGTTTTATCACGCGTCTCCTGAGTGCAAATGCAAAGCAGGACCTCTCATGTTTGTATTTTCTGTCTTTCAGGAATCCAGAATAAACTGCATCCGCATCGCTCGAAAAGGTAATTTCACAGGAAAACTCCCCTTCCTGCAAACACTTGGACCTAAAAACTGCAAAATTATAGAAATCGATACAAAAGTTTGAAGCTAAAATTCTTTTTTCTTCTTGCTTATTTACCTTTTTTTTTTTTTTTACCTCGAGCACAAAGGTGGAGTTGTGAACAATTGCCCTCAGATGGTTCTTGTTGTTCCGCCGTGGGCCTCAGAAAAAAGGGCAACAAGCAGGAAGGGATTAGAGGTCAGCCTTTCATCCTGCTTGTGGGGGTGGGGGGCAGAAACTGGTATACTCTATCACGACTAGCTCTTTGTTCTCATCAGCGGCCCACCAGATAGCTACATCTGAGAGCTCTGACCTCAGTAGCGTCCAAAAGGGTTGTCCAGATCAAAACTCCCCGATGGAGCTACCTTGGCCTATCGCTGTGAGAAAGCCCCGTGTCTTCCCCCTCACCCTCCACTTCTTCTCCGCCCTCCATTTTTATTTCGATTCAAAAAGGACGTGAAAAGGGCAGATGCATTGACTCTAAGTCCGGCTGGCAGGAGAGTCCTTCTGCAGCAGTCTGCTGCCAGATCCTGGTGAATAAAGTTTATAGCTGCAAACGTAAACGGAGCTTTATAAGTAAATCCGTTCAGGACGATCTTTCTGGCCTGTTTTTCTGAAGGCCTCTTTTTGTGAGCGACTAATGAGAGAAGAGGTTCTCCTCAAGCAGAAAGCCAAAAGGCAATGCTCAGCTCTCACTCCATCCGCCTCGCAGAACCCAGTCGGGCATTGATTAGTTATGCCTTTTCTTTTTACAGCCGTTGACTGTAAACTGCTTTAACCCAACACGCCAAGATCGAATGAAAAACACGCACAACAAAAGCTAACGCTTCTACTTCTTGTCACCTTCATTTCAATGACATCATTAATATGATCAAAATCAAACCAGGTGTGAAGGATGCTTTACCGTTTAATGTCAGCATGCATCAGCTTTTATCCGTTAATCCAGATAGTAGTCTGGCACGTTAATAAAACTCTAAGCTAGTCGTACGACAACAATTTGGTGTTCAAACTGAATGACAAGTGTAAAGAGACAAACAAAAATATGAAACCTCATCACAATAGCTCATTAAAGTCACCATGGTAACAGCATGCTTATGAGAGACACACGTGAAGAAAAGGCCATGACAGTTGCTGTGGAGAGTATTACATGAAGTGTGTGTTATGATGTATTTAAAGGGGTCACATGATATAAAACTCCTGCTTTTGCATCTTTTTGTGCTGCCATGTGGTTCTCCGCTGCCTCTACAAACACTCCTAACATGAACAAAACCTCCATCTGTTTTCTGTCAGTATTTTGTTTTAGAATTTTTGTGTCTAAAAGCCCCCATTTGTGATGTCATAAGGGGGGAAAGTAGCATCCGACCACTTGCTGGAGGAGCAGCAACTCCACTCTGAGTCCCCTCCCAGAGCTTCTCAGCCTATAGCAGCATGGGTGGGCGTGGTCAGCTCCAGTTTTAACGTGACAGAGCCCTGAAATGGCTCATTCTGGAAACTGCTGACTTTGCTACATGTGAGAACTTCATGAACATGTTTCGTATTGATAGTAGAACTTTTACAACTCGAGATTGAAAGTTAAAAGGTCACCATTAAAGGGTTTTATGAAGGAGCTATGACAGGTAAAAAATTAATTTGACTCCTAATTTTAAAGAGAAAATTAAGATGAAGCTTTATGTGAGGTAGACGCTGCATTCTAACCCTGTACCTGTTATTTTACCACCTGAGTACTCATGCATCAGCAGCTTTACCTGGAAGTCATGAAAAACAAGTTAAGATCAAGGAGGGTCGAGTTGGAGATCAGATTTCGTAAATAGAATTAGGATTATTATAATTTCATTTTCAGGTGTGAGTGGGATTTTCAGTTTAAAGGTAGCTCAGGTCAGTGTTGTGTGTGTGTGTGTGTGTGTGTGTGTGTGTGTGTGTGTGTGTGTGTGTGTGTGTGTATGTGCGTGCGTGCGTGCGTGCGTGCGTGCGTGTGTGTGTGGTCTCGGTGATCCGTCCAGCCTCGGGATCATCATCAGGTCCTGAGCCATTATTATCAAGCAGCCCATCACAGGTAAAGTGGAGGCAAATGATTGTGGCTTGGATAACAAATCTGGAGAGTACATTTCAACTTCCAGGTGACAGTTTAATTAAGGATCCTCTGGCAGGCGCAACACAACAATAGACTCCCATTTCTCCTCTAAGTGCCAATTTCCTCCGCGGGGGCAGCCGGCAGGTGCTCGGATTCAGGCGGAAATCTATTTCATGCTCATGTTTTGGCTTAATAGAAATTTCCAGTCTAAATATGGCAAAACGGGGGCTTATTTCTGCAGAACATGACAAAAACCCAAAATGGATTTTGTCTGCTCCTCATCTACAATTTTTTTTAGCTGATATGAATTATTTTCATTAAGGTAATTTCAAATGAAATGTCAGCATGAAAAAGTGTGTGTTTGTGTGTGTGTGTGTGTGTTCATAGAAGTCAAATACCTGTCAGATGGCTTGTCCATAAATGGGAAGCAGAGACATTCTGGAACAACATAGCGGGACAAAAGCCATTCCAGTATCAGTGCCTGTTTTTTTCTCTGCTCCCCAAATGCCAGACGCTCATCACTTATTGAAACCCTCCGAATAATGAAGCGGTATTGTACTACTTTCATCTTTATTTGGGATGAGGGTTCAAAAAGCAGTGCCCATGGCTGCAGAGAGTTGGGCTAAAACATGGCTGTTTTCATTCCCCCCCTGCCCTAGATCTGATTTTTATAATATATCCCTCCACCCCCCAGCAGACTGCTAGATATGCTCTATCCCCAGGCGTGCTCCGACTTTCTGCTGCTCTCCTGATGGTTTGTGCTGTTCCAATGGGATCAGAGGAGCTGGTTTCAGGGCTGTCAAAGCCTGGAGGACAGGCTGACAGTAGGACAAAAAAGGAAAAACTAGATCATCGGGCTCGTGTAACAAGACGAAGACAAGCCCACTGCTCAGCACCATTTACATAAGTATGAAGCTTTATGCCATGGAAATGAATACCCTGCTATTATGATAATGACCTTTCTGGTGGCTAACAGACACCAGGGCACCTTGAGATGATACTGTAGGGCTGAGTGGATTATTCTGACTGGGGATAAAATGAAAAACAGTTCAGACGTTTGCCACTAAATAATGATGCATATTAGTGTTTATTGCTGCTAATTAGGTACTTTTAAATTAGGAACTGATGAGGTCTAAAGCTGGACATGTTTTGTTATAAGATCAGCTGACTGCTTATGGCTCTGCACCCCCAAAATGATCTATGAGGTGAGAGGAGAGCGGGCTTTTGTGCACGTTGCTCCTCACCTTTGGAATGCACTCCCTCTCATATGAGGGTCTTCAACGGTCTCGGTTTTCAAGTCTACACTGAAGACTCACTTTTACGATTTGGCCTTTGGACAATGATTTCTTTGATGCTTGGTTTTTACTGGTTTTGAGATACAGTTTTGTCACGGAGTGGAGGGAAGGTGAGGGAGAAAGAGCAGGTCCTTCAGGCAGGTAAATCAACCCAGGCCAGACAGCAGCAGACATTTGGTTCCTCTTTAATGGTCAGGAGTGCAGACACGACAGGGTAGACAGATGTGAGCATAACCTGACATGTAACGAGTACGATCCGACCGAAACCACAAGCAGCACACAAGGCTTATATACACACTGGGATGGGTCATCAGGTAACAAGAGGCAGGTGGACACAATTAAGGAAAAACTCAAGGCACAGGGGAGCAATAATGTGACAGTTTTTATCGTTTTATTAGAGTTGATTTATCTTATCGTATTGAATCGTTTTAAAATGGTCTTTTCCTGAATGTTATTGTTTGATTTCATCTTATTTAATGGAAATGTTTTGTTCTGCTTGTGTCCAACCTTCTGAAAGGTGCTTTGTTCAGCTCTCATGCTGTATTTTAAATCACGGTATAAATAAAATGCTAACGCTATGGTATAGTAAATGACTAAACTTAAAGGTGCATTATGTAGAAATGAAGTTAAAATGACATCCTGTCACGTAATCTGGTTACTGCAGCCACTTTAAACAACTCTGGAGCTTTTTGTCGACCGTCGTCAAATTACAATTGTCGGCGCTGCAGCATTAGCTCGCGGGAGACCCCGCACTCACCGACGGTCCCTGAAGCCCCTCCTACCTTTGCTTAGAATGGAGGAAAACTGACAATCCCCACAGCCAGCTGGATATGAAATGTTTCAGTAGAAGCTTCCTTCCAAAGCACCTGAAACATTAGACTCTTTTGGGATTTTCTTACGATAAAATTCTCACTAATTCTTACATGCTGCACCTTTAAATCAAAGATCTCCTAACAGTGGTTAGGATGAATAATATCAAATAATTTGCTGCAATTTTTGAAAAAGATCTATATTTTTTGGACAAAAAGGTTGTTCAATGCCATGCATTCAGTTTTTCAAGCACTCTTACATTTGGAGTGCTGGTGTTGAAGCCATGAAGCAACTCTGTTGCTATTTTATTGGTAAATGGATGCTTTGTAGTTAGGTTTCACTTTTTGGTGCTAAAAGCAAACCAATCTCCTTGCTGTGCGTTTGTCTTTTTAACAACTTCATCTAAGAGCTGAAGCATCTCCCCAGCTTTCATTAGTGTCTACAGGAGCGCTTCATCACTAAATCAAACAAATCAGCTGTGCTCATGATCTAAAACCTGCAGGAAACGTGCTGAAAGCAGACTGCAGCACCAGGCATGTCGGCTCCACTTTATTAGCTCCAACAGGGACCAGACCAACACTCTGAAGTTGCAAATGCCATATTCTAGCCACAGAGGGCGGTGAGGTTCTGAGGGACGTATCATTAACCGTGTAAAGGGTAATTTTGGCACACACTGGCTCAAGAAAATCACTTAAAAATATGAAAGGTTGCATAGTATGGCTTTTATCTTCTGTTTCCAGATATTTAGATTCATTTTGCTCCAGTTTTCTAAGTTTTTGTATGTTTTTGTGTTGTCTGCGCAGCGGCCTGCAGAGATCACCGTAAGGCTCTGGAGGTGTCCCAACACTCTGAAGAGATGGGGCTGATTCTGGGTGTGTGCGCCGGAGGACTGGTGGTCCTGATCCTTCTGCTCGGCGCCGTCATCATCATCATTAAAAAAGGGTAAACAGCTCCTGGTGACCTGCTCTGTATTTAAAAGAAAGCTCATTATGCACAACCACACCACCTCTGCATGAGTCTTTCACTTTGAAACAGTTCAGGGATCAGCCGTTGTGCTGAACTTTCAAAAGAGGTCATGCTTTCTAAGAGGGATGGCGGCATCGTTTCCCTTCTGCTCTGCAGCAGAGGGACCAAACAACTCCCATCTGCACAGCGTATCTGTGTGTGAAGTATTTAATTAAAGGCGGATGCGATTCAATTAGCCACTTAATTACGCACGCCGAGCAGAGGCCTGACCCCTAAATGAGATGGCAATTGGGAGGGAAAAGGTGTGCGTTTAGAGATTATTAACCAATAATCCCACAGGTCTGCAGTCAATCAGCTGCTCTTCTGGCTCTGAGAGCGCCGCAGCATCAATCCTCCCCGATACAAATAAAAATTCAAATGAAAATGTGCTAAAATCCAAAGATAAGGAAGGGTGAGCTGTGACAGGACGCCACACGGCCCCATCCTTTGGGTGAAACTCTATACAGCGGATGGAGAGTTGGTCTACCTCTGTGTGTGTTTGATCTATCAGCAGCTGCATGTGTCACACATCCACCGCCACAGCTGGATGACTGAGATGACGCTTCCCATTTTCACTGTGATCAATGCATTCTGCCCTCCGCTGACATCGCTTTCATCTCACATAAATTCTCTCTCTTGATTCTTGTTTTCTTTCCCTCTCCTGAACTCTCGCCAGAAGGGACTACTACTCTTATTATCCGTAAGTGACTCCACCTCTTTGCTCCGGCATCACTTTGCTGTCCATCCATGCTTGTGCTCCGGCTGTCAGTCATGAGTGAAGAGGAAATCAGTACGATATTTCTGTCTTCACAGTAGATCTGTAACTCATCATCCTTTCTTCTCTTTCTCTGTTTTTTACGTTATTGCTGTTACTGACTAAAAAAGATCCTGTCTCCCACGTGACTGTTGTCCCTCCCACTTCTCCTTTACTCATACACAGGAAACCTGGGAACATGAATAAGACTCCCATT